GATCACGACTTCTCTGTGAATAGAGGAATCATGAGCGTAAGAGTCACAAGAAAGCGATGGTAAAAAAATGCCTTTATGAATCACTATCGGTCGCGTACCGATAACGCTATCAATCTCTTTCTATAAATAAAACTCTCGATGGGACGAATGACAATCATCATTGACGCTATCAACGATGCTTCATAATATGTTGATCAATTTTTCCATAATCGTACTATTGTCATCCATTGTTCGTCGAATCCTTCATTCCATTTTTATTGATAATATTTGTCACGTAAGATAAATACGAGAGATTAATCATCGCGATTAAACGACCATCGACGATTCCTCCAGTTCAGAGAGGCTTCCGTGAACGCTCTGGAGGCCTTGAACGTGTCCTTGAAAAGCACGAGAGGAGAAGCTGGCAATTTACCCGAGACAAGTTTCGCGGTCGAGCTCTATTTCGGTTTCGCGGGGATATCGGTGACATCCACGCTTCTCGTTGGCACCGATTCCCGAAAATCCGGCCGAAATTTGGGGGCTGATCTCACTCTTCGTCACTGAATGAATCGTGGTCGCGCGTCGAGGAACAGGTAGAAAGAGACAATGTTGCGGAATGAGGTAAATCGTTCGTGAACTCGCGAAACACTTGGCATCGTTGAGAATATGATTTAAGAGGCAAGCAACTGCTGGATGCTTAAAAAATTACCACCCTTTGGAAAATGTTTGCGATACCACAGAAGAACTTTCAACTAGGAAAATGTCAGCCATTTGACGAGCAGAGAAAATTTTTCATCAGAAAATTCCAAGAAGTAGAGTATTCTCTTCCATTATCGTAAAATGTCGTCTACTTAGATCCATACCAGGAATATGCAATGACATAATTTTCCTTGAAGAATTGGATATATCGATTTAATGATAAAATAAAAGCACACTCCGATGCATAACAATATAAGTATAAATTTTATGCGACATATTTATGTAATGCGAAATAATTTCAACAGAGATGGAATTTATTTAAATAGAAGAAAAGAAAGATTATGATATTTGCATTTTATAAATTCGAAATAAGGATTTTCAAAAACTTGGGAACTGATATATTTTGTAATATACTATATAGTATATTATTGATAAAATTTTCCCAATTCTGCAACTGCAACTGCGCAAGATTCCCTAGCACCACCCACCCCTAAACTCGGCTTATTTCCTGCACGGGAACAAACTCTGATAATCACGTTTTAGCCTTGAAGCTGCTACACCACACGATAGTAAAAACATTTACCTTCTAAGCAGCCCATCGATCGTCTGCTGGGGGTGATAAATTAACAACGAAGGATCGATTACAAGGAAGAAGGTCGCAGTGTGTTACGCAAGTGGTTGGAGCGCATGTGTGCCATACGTAATTGCGAAATAAGAAAATCGCATGGAGATTGTTTATTCGACGCAATCATCGCGATTGCCTTGGCTTTACTCGTAATCTATTAATTGGTCGGCCCGTAATTACAGCGGAGCCTTTCATTTACGGCCATTTGCGACACTTATCGCTCTTTCGAGGACACAGACATGTCCCTGATCGCTGTCAACGAGTCGAAAGTTCTCTGGAAATTCTGACACTGTTTTTGGTAAATTAAAATTCCACTTTTTTGCATAAATATGCCAGAGAAAAATTTAATCCCGGTGCGAAAAATCCCTGAGTAAGAGAGACAGAGATGTTTCAATGGAGATAATAATTGGAAATTAATAATTCGTTTCACAATTCTTCGTTGAAGAGCCATTCGAGAGATTCTGATAACGACACTGTATATTTATTATGACTAAGTCCACCAGATGTCCAAACATTTCTCTGACACTTTGCAGAGATTTTTAATCGCTACACGCTGTCACTGTTGGGTAATACTGAGTGTCACCCAACACGTTCCAACCGATGAACAGATGAGGCACACCGTGTTACTGATACCTCGAGTACCCGCGGTGCTTTCGTTGAAACATGTGTCAGAAGAGGATACCAAACATCTCATAATTAATATTCATTTAATAACATCGCCACTCGGCTCCTTTCTAATTCATGTCAATCAGTCATCATCACAGCCCGAGAGAACACCCCGGGTTCTCCTTGAGAACGAAGTGCAGCAATTTAGAAACCATCGATTCTCACTCGTGACATCGTGTTCTATGTCAAAGCACCATTTTGTACCTCGAATCGGAGCACCCTGATCGTACCGTTTTCGAGGACTTGTCTCCGAGCCCCTCGTTCGCCATGATTTTTCGATGTTCGGTGCCGCTCCTGGGCCTCAGCACGGGGAAATATCTCCGCGTCAGGTTAGACAACTGCTGCCCCATCGACACACACGATCCGACGACCAACAGTGCCAGCAACTAACTGCCTTGCCCTCGGGGAAACACCGATCGATCGTCGGGGCTTTTCGTTCAACCGCATCCACCCCCATGAGTCAGGGGCCGTTCCATCCCCATGGAAACATCTCCACGCGTGGGTGCTACCCGTCTGTTTCGTTCTTCGAATAGATAAGGAAGATAAAGGAACTTGTCCTCACGAGGGTTTTCACATCTTTCAGGGCCGTATATTTATCCAATTTCCAAAAAATAATACGCTCATCGTCGAGCTTCATACTCCGTCGCTTTCTCTCGATCCCCTCAGCTGATTGTTGTGATTCATTATATCGAAACCACATGCGTACCACACGAAAACACGTGCGCCCAGTGATTCATCGAAGAACGCAACCGTATGCAACGATCCTGGTATCAGCTTGCCAACGTCTGCCATTACTCCGGGCACAATTTTTGGCACTGTTCTGCGACTGATCGATGATCAGACTTTCCTAGATCGAACCGTCTGAATAACCTGATTTCGAGAAATTGCGTAACCCGAAGTCGAACAGAAACAAGCTTCCCAGAATTATCTTCGAGTTCCAAAATGGTACGATCTTATTTTAAATATTACTTCAATTTATTATTCAGCGGGAGAAGCTGATTCCTCGCGCTGACACGAAGGGTAGACTTCGTGGAAAATAATGGATCGGGGACACGCGTGTAAGGAGGGTGATTTACAGAGAAAAGAGCCTCGAGCCGAGGTCAAGGTTTGCGTTAAGAACACGCGATGTCGAGGGAACTGTAGGCGGAAAACAGGGAAAATCCGTTACCCTTTGACAGCTATTTAGAAACCTGGGGTAGGCACGCGAACGTGCCGTTAAACTATACGAGGGGGGTTGCAGGGGCGATAAATCTTGCGCCCTGCTATTCCGGCACTGCTCGCGTCCCGTGTTTATGGTAAACAATACTAGGCTAGGATACAGAATTATCGATTAACCGAATTTTCTTTTGCAGATGTCTAAGCTGACCATCCAAAAGACCAAGTTCGTGTGACGGAAGCAAGGGAGGGGCCAGACGCAAGAGCGCATAATCATGGACGGATCGACAGAAGGGGCAACATTGTGCGCTGCGATGGCAGTCATTGGCACCGTGTCAGAAATTTCCTAGGTGACTCAAAAGCCACGTAGCTCGGTGAAAAACGGCTAAATTTAGAGCGTGGACGTTGCATAAATAGGCGGGTATCCGGTGAAAACGAGCAGCGTTGTTCGCGTAATCGACAACGGATCCGTATGATCGTGGATCTCGCGGGTTCGACGATTTTCACCGGGCAAATAACCCCATTCCACAAACCTACATACCTCAAACGTGTTCTCGGAACGATACACACAGAGTAGAGAGAAGTGGAAACGAGGATGTGTAATAATGGCACGGTCGCTGTTGACCGATTACAGATAAGCTATCGGTGATTCTTGAAAATCGGTCATTCGTTGACAGATTACAGGGCCGATACCTTGTTATTGCAACGTTTATCAAGGTCCTCTTAACAGCACAGCTGCTGTTGTCTGCTTGATAGCAGTTCCGGAGATATTTATAAAATGGATGTTATTGAACGAAGATTAGATGATGCTCGAAGATCGATCTATTAGCGGAATCCTAGCCTAGCCTAGCGCACTTTGCTCGAGCTGTGTTTCGTTATCGATAGAACTGATTACGAATACAATGAGTCTCGATAAAATGCGATTACTATTGCGAAATCTTTGCCGATGATTTTTTCAATTAACCCAAGTACCATCCTTTGTAGTCCAAGCAATTTTAAAACCGCCACTGGTAAAAGATTCCGTTAATCAATGACACAGGATTGCGATGACAGTCGTTCTTCACCGATCGGATTAATTTTTACGTTCTAATCTCTTCCTCTGCTTCTTCCTCTTCTTCGGCCGTGGTAACACGTGCGTCGAAATTCCAGGGAACAGTAATGGCTCAGCGTTCCCCGAACATCGGAGACGTTTAGGAGAATGTTTACGCGATGATCGCGTGAGAACAGTCGGAGTTCGAACGCGAGAGATCATCAGCAGGAGAAGCGATCGTGTCAACGACCCAAGAGGAGGCAAGTTTCCCTGCTAGCTCGGCCAGTTTCGTGCCAAACTGTTCTACGAGAGTCGAGTTTAGGCCGCACCCAAAGCCCAGCCTTCCGGTGGATCCTTCTGTCTCCCGAACCAACTTGCTTCTCAACGATGCTCGCGTCGATAACACTCTCGGGAGACGCAAAACACTCGATACCCAGTATCAGAGATTGAAAATCTCGATTTCACCCCGGCTGAATAAGTTCCGGACTTTACGAGACACGTGTCAGTATCTAAACTGTGCCTAGAGACAATAGGCACCGGGTATCTAGTCGTTTATAATACATAAACGATTCCGAAAATCTCAGTCTCTGCACAATTTCACTTGTAACAGAAAAAGGCTCCCTACTCCAGTCAAGGACATGTTTCACTGTTCAAAGACACTAAAAGCATCAGTTTCGAGTAATAACTTAGCCTCTATGACTATTTCATTGCCATTTCGGTGCCTAGTCTCACCCTCTTTATTAGCATGATTTATCCCGACCCCGGTGGAAATTTAAGAGGATCTAATGCACGCGGATCTCGACCGAGTTTATCAAAGTGTCAGCGAACGTTTTATCGTAAACTCACCCTTGCCGCGGCCACGCTTTTCTCAGCTGACACGCCATCGAGTTCGACGCGCGCCCTGGCCGCTGTTGCAGCGCTCTGCTCCTTGTAAGAGACGTCGCCAGCTTGCAAAGCTCTCATCTCGGCGCTGTTCGCTGTCGCCTTCTCGGCGCTGAAGCCGTCCGTGACAACCTGAAATTTCGAGAAATCGATGATCAACGGTGAAAATTAACGGGGATGTCAATGGAAAATCAGGGAAATTAGGACTGGTCGACGTATCGGCGTTCGACGTGCACGAACGAGGGTAGAAAAAACACTGACCTTGCCGTGACGGAAGTGAAGTTAAAGATAGAATCCAAGCGGAAAGAGTTCGGCTGTCGAGGGAGCAAGGCGTGACATTCGATGTAAAAATAACCGGCAGGAACGTGCTTCTGCGGATGTATGCGTGACGCAAGGTCCGAGTTCGAATGGAATATCGCAGAGCGAAAAATCTCTTTGCAAAAATATGCAGTGTCACCGAGTAGCCGTGAATTAAAGCGAATAAAAAGAACACGGGGAGACGAGAGACAAGTTGACAGGAGATAGGCTCCCGAGATCTCGGATTCGGTGAATACGTCGTTGGAAGCTTGGCTAGAGGAGTTACCTAGATAGCCACGAAGTCCTTGACCTAGACTACCTAGAGGAAACCACACCTCCGGCCAAACATTGCGCAGCTCCGCGTCGCCAAACGCTCGCGAACGCCACGAGACATCGATTATTTCACGCGCAATTTCGAACGCAATTAAATGATTACAGTCCAAACTAACTTTTCTTCCAAATATGGTCGTGATTGACCCAAGTCTAAAACAACTATCATTTTTCTTTAAGATTTGACAGTTCTGAGCTTTTAAGAGACAGAAGTTTGGATGTTTAACAGGTTCCTTTTCTATCATGACAAATGATATTAAATTCATGTAACACTTAAAATTAAAGATGAAGAAGGTGAAGCTAACTATTTGTGTCATTAAAGGTAATTTTACGTCTCTGTAGTCTAAGCTAAATGACTGACAATGTAAATAAATATTTATGAAACTGCCAAAGATTAGGCTAAAGTTCTTTTCCATTGATCAAACTTCTGTTCTCTTCACGTTTTAAATGTAATTTTATCTAAATTCCTCAAGAAATGACCGGTGCGTAGACATAATCCTGGACTTGACCTGTCAAACGAAACATCAAACACCTCACCTTGGTCTTGGACGCGCTGGTCATCTTCTTCTGTTCGAATTTCATCGTTTCCTGTCCAGCAGGAAGGTTCGTCATGTTCGAAATGTTCGACATGCTGATCGGGGGGCTCATGTTGTGAAGATTGTTCAACGAGTTCAGGGAGGTCAACTGGGATGGCGATCCTCCAGTTAAGGCACTGGTTCCAGTGGTTGGTGGCGGCGTGTCCGGATCCGGAAACGTCACCAGAGGCTCCGTCAGGTCCCCTTCTTCCGTCCCGTTTCCATCCCTGTGAGAATACAAATTCGATTTCGTGAGGATCCAACGATTCCAACATCGGCTACTCGGCGTGTGTGTTTATTCGCCGCGAGGAATGCGAGAGGAGCTTTGAAAATAATCGCGCTGCACGGGGCTAAAACTGGCATTTGCCATTTATAAATAACACAGTGGACGTGACTTTGCTGATTATCAGAGGAAGAGAGAAGAAATACCGAATTTAGTCCTAGAAATTTTTCAATCTGGCACGTTCTAATCATTGCGAATTCTGTTAATGAATGACAATCCAAGAGAAATGGAATTTTCAGTGAAAGTATCAAACGATCAATCAAATATATAAAATACAAGGGAAAATATCGAGATAATTTTAACAATTTTCAACCATAAATATCAAAGAAGTTAGGTAATAAAAATTATTTATGCTAACCATTATAAAAGTGGTCTAAGTATCATGTACATTTCGTTACAAATATTTAAAATTCTGCGCTCTAAATATGTTATAAATTAAAATAATTTTATTACAATGTGTGCGACTCAAAATAATAAAAATAAAAAAAAAAAAGAAAGATCGTTTCTTTGAATTTTTGACTTGTACCACATTCGTACATCCGGCAGATTTGTGAGATAAAAAGAAAGATTAAATATTTATCACGATGTTACGACACTCCTACTGTCAAACAGATCTCTACGACGCTTAATCCCTCGACTGTCTCAAAGATGTCAAAACACGAATAACAAATCTCCATGGAGAACATAGATGTCACTCACACGAGGTGGTACTAAAGTCAATGAAACAGTCTAATAAAAGATTAACACAGACACCGTAGAGATACTGAGGAATATCACTAATAACAAAAGATGTACCTGTCCACGAGGTTTTCCATGCTGCTGCGCAATCTCTGCGAGAAGTTTGTCGAAATATTGTTTTTCATCTCTGATATGCCGCGTTGAAGTTCCCTCAAGTCGCTCTTCATGGAGCTTGCTTTCATCTCACTCGATGAGGACGAGGTAAGAATCCTCTGAGAGGATTTGGCCACCCTGCTCGAACTGCTGCTGCTGCTCTGGCTCTGGTTCGTCGTCAGCATCTGCCGAGTCAAAAGCCGTTTACGTTCTATTTAAAATCCACGTGAGATGAGTCACTCTCGTCTATTCGTCTCTGTCTTATGCTCTATCTTTCGCACTCCTTCGCACCCCTCTCTGTAGCAACACCTTTGCTTTCCGTTTTTCGTGCGAATCGTTCTAGTCACTTTTCCGCGATTTTTACTTTGTTACTAGATCGAATCCTGACGTCTTCGCGGTTACCAGAGCTTTGGTTCCAGATAATTATGCAACCTTGGTCACCCGATTCCGTTCGAGGAATCTAGACTGTGCTCTTTTGGGGGTGAACACCAAAATTGGGAGCTGAAGACCGAAATTAGAAACTAAAAACCAAAATTGGAAGCTAAAGACCAAAATTGGGAGCTAAAGATCGAAATTAGAAACTAAAAACCAAAATTGGAAGCTGAAGACCGAAATTGGAAGCTGATGACCGAAATTAAGAGCTAAAGTTGACACGTTCCCTAATTTCAGAAGACTTTCTATATAATCGAGCGATCACAGAATCTTCAAGGTGCTTCGAGATGAGAAATAAGGAACAAAGGAAAGGAAGAGGATCTCGCAACAGGTTAGTCACTTCTGATCCACCCTAGATACCAAGAATTCGGACGGGTTGCTACTTCCGACGAAATCAAACAGGAACAATTCATTCGGCAGCGACTGGTCCGATCGGTACTCCAAACAAACGTCCCTGATTTATTTTCCAAATGGTCTACGAATCCCTGGCGATGATAACAGACTCGCGGCACACATTCCAAGAAACTTTCATTAAACAATTACACCCTGTCTCTGATAGCCAACGTACCAATTCCACCGCTAAGCTAATTCGTCCTTAGAATTCGAAGTTAATGAGGCGAGAGAGAGGGCAGAAACGAGTGGGTAATTTAATCGCGGTCATTTTCAACAATTCTGTCAACGTCCACTTGAAGATAAACTGCCTGACGGTAAGCCAACGTCGTCAGGAACGATTTTGAGAGGAAAAAGAGTCACAGGGACAATGTGTGCACAGTGCTGGTCTAAGCCAACGAAGAGCTTTATGTAAGAAAAATACGAGTGAAAGTTGTTCGATTTCCTGAAAACACTTGGGAAAATCGTGTCGTCATCGTGTGTATCCCTCGCCTAATTAATCCGCGTCTAAGAAACAACGCTAGCCTGGTAAATGTCCAAATAAGCGAGGACCAGCCATGCCAAAAGACGCGAAAAATCGGGCAGAGGCAACGCTCTGAACGGGAACAGAGACATTAAGATGCAGAAGAGGCCTTGAGGATGATAGCCTCGAGGTTCCCGGACCTGGAAGTTTAGGCTGCTTTGAATTAGGTTGGAAAAAATTCACGTGGGCGACAATTACGTAAACTTTTAGGTATGCGACTGCTGATTATTCAAATATGTCTACAGAGACAAAGAATTTTCAGTGAAGGGACATGACAACGATTAGCTTTGGCTTTGGCAGTGTGATGCAAACTAGCGTGATTTTTACAGTTTGAACAAGTAGTTCAAGTCACTGGATGATTTGTCAAAAATCTTTACACCTTCTTCGATTTTAGCTCTGAGTATCTTCTCCCTGGATCGAAAATTGCTAAAATCTTGATCAAACAAGTTTCAGAATATATATTTCTAAAAGATAGGAATTATGGACATGTTTAATGTAGTATTTTGAATATTAGAACTTAAATTTTGCATTTAAATTAATTATACCAAGCGAATTATCAGTTTCAAGCCCAATTTACCTAATCGCTGTCAATTACCCAACCCCGGGTCACTGACATAAATAATACCGAAAATTCATAAATAGTTACCTACTCAACACCTGCATCAAATGCAGTCTAATTTTGTCGATTACATCACAATCATCAGTTTCGTCATGCAGCCGAATCATCAAACCTGAATAGACTACTAAATTACGAGATTCGAATTCTCGATAAGCCACTTGATATTCCTGGTACACGATCGGGCAACGGAGAGCATCGATAAATTAAATAAAGGGGTATCGTGGAATATCGAAGGCAGGCTGGCACGAAAATCCATGAAAGATGAATCGAGGCGTAAATTGAGAGAGTATGAGTGGATGATAAGAGTATCGGTGGGCGTGAGAGAAACACGTGGACTCTGTATCGTTGCATAATCGGTTGGCCCCAACGATAGATCGCGCTTCGAGATCTAACCAGTGTCAAATGGATCCTTTTGATCGACCAAGTGTCTCTCAGTGTCGTGTTGCCTTCGTCAACCTCTAGGTTACATTTTATTGCGAAATGTTCAGCCAGACACACGGTCAGGTGTCTGGATAAAAGTACAGCACCGAAATTGACCGAGGGTTCAACGTTTTCCACGTGTACCTGCGAGTGCCAAGATTCCGTTTGTTGCAACCGATGTAGATGATAAGTCTAGATACTATTCGGTAGATACCACTCTATTTCGGTGTAATTGTGCTCCGAAAGAACCTGGATATAAATAGTTGCAACGAGAGTGCAGATAATTCTGTTTCGCGAACGCGCGACATGCATCAGCTGTAACAAAATATGGAACTCGGGGGTTGTTAGAGGCTATTCTCGTCACGGGGTCTCTTTAGGAACCCTTTTTTAGACGAACGTGAACCCTCGGTTGGATGCCTACCAAATAAACAGAGAATCACGAGATTTCGAAGTACCAGAAGCAACAGCTAGTTAGATAGGTTAGATTTCGTTTTTCCAACAGATGACAATCAGATGCAACGTCTATACCATGTCATACTGTCATGTAGGGATACTGTTTGATTGGCGAATATAAAGAATAAGAAATGTGATTTTATTCTAAAATATATCTCAAACCCTAGCATCCTAGTCATTGAAAATATAATTGTAATAAGAGCAAGTATTACAGAAGCATCATAGACCTGTGACACCATGTTGCTCTACTTATTGTCTACTAACTATCGATTGAACGAAATTACAAAATTGGTTGAAAGATTTAGAAAGATTCTCGAGTACTTAACCCTTTGCAATCAACTATTAATTATTTTTCGATCTTCTTGCCAATAACTCCCTACTATTTTACAGAAGGTATTTGACAGTTCTTCGACTGCCACTTATTTCAAAGAATTCTGTTCACTGATTAGATAAAATATAGCTCTCAAACATTATTCTAATTCATATTTCGAGTAGTTATTTATTTTCTGATTTCTTGTTCAGTAAATAAAGGATCAAAGAATTCGACATAGGAGTTCCTGTGATAAAAATTGAAGCCGAGTCACACTCGATAAAGAAGTGCAAAGGGTTAAGCGCAGTTTCGAAGCAAGATTGTGGATCTTCAAAGATAAACGTTTAAGCTATTACCAGGTCTTATCTGGGTAAGAATCTTCGCGATAACGATCGAGTTTATTTTAGAGCCTATCCATGACAAACACGCATGGTTCTTGGAAGTTGAAAATGTTTTTAATCCGGTTTAAAAGCGATCCCTCGATCGTGATTTGTCGGGGATCATTTTTCTTGGAATTTCCCATTTAGCAATGGACGAATTTTTTCTTTTGTTCCTGGATGAGTGGTTCTGGGCGCCATGTGGTAGGGAGGTGCGTGAAAAATGACTGCGTCGATTTAATTTTGGAAACCGGCTCAGATCGGTTGCGGAATCGAGAAATGTAATCGTTCGAGTAATTCCAAGTTTTCGTATTCAGGAAAGCCAGTGTGGGCGAAAGGCGTCGCGACGCTCTGGTTTCGGATTAAAGGTTGCTTTTCGTCAGAATCTCGAAATAGAAAGTTCGATGGCAGGGCTCCTTATTAAATCGTTCACTTTTGGAGCGAGTTTCCCTGAAAGACAGGGTTTGCTTTGGGTTAGGACCGCAGTTGGATCAGAGCTTTGCCAGCTCTTGGCAGAGGAACACGTGGTGGACTGTAGATTCGACTTGTGTGGTGAAGAGTGCTGTATTTGAACACATTTTTGTGCAATAATTAACGTTCTAGCAAGTCAGAATCATATATTAAATAACTGGCATATAGTTTGCTTGCTATATTTAAATCAGTTAGGTTCTTTTTACTTAATAATCTCCTGTACGTTTTTTAATGTTTCTATGATTATTATTTTATTAAGTACAATTTATTTTTGCACCCCGTTATATATAATAAGTTCTAATATTTGTGCGACGAAAGATTAAAAATGAAAAATTTACCTGCGACGACGAGGTGACCTGTGGATGATGGGTGACATGGGTGCTCCTGCCGGGCACCATGTTGTTCTTCTTCTGGAAATTCTCCATGACAGTGTGCATGTCACCGTTTTCCCCTCCCTCCACTGGGAACTCCGACATCTACGACAAAAGCGATCGAATTTTTATCAACGCTGCAATCATCGACTACTAGCCTAGGTTTGAATAATTTATTTATTAAATATTCATTTTCTACTCTACAAAGGATATCTTTACGTCATAAAACATAAAGCAGATAAATATTGTATATAAATACAGTGATAATACGCGCCGAGTGATTCAAAAATGGCGTCGAAAATTTGCAAACATGTGATACATAATAATCTATGAAAGTGACTTATATAGAGTATTCCAAACATAAAAATCGCACGGCCCGCCCTCTGGCGACGGGTACTGGAAGTGCTGTTAGAAAAGGCTATTACGATGCAATCTGTTTCAACTGTGAAAACAATGTCTAATGCGCGTCTTCTAAATTTCATACTCGTCTTAACGGGCTGTATATACTTGACAGAATTTTTGAGCAAGCCTGTACGTCGCAATAATTTGTTGTCGTACACAGACACCACCGTTCACCGTACGGTAAACCGAGCGCAAATGATTGGAGCGCGAAACTCGTTGCAACTGGAAATCAGGTAAACACGCAAACCGCTACTACCCACGTGCTCGTTAATTATTGCACCGAACTGATCCATCAGCTGATCCCGGATCTTGAAAATTCATGCGAAACTGGTCGACCTTCCTCGCTTCACGGTTAATCGATTTGTATTTCAAAAGAGTTGTTAAACTAAAGTATAGAACGTTCAGAAAGTATTAAAATAGTGCACGTTTGTCTCCTGCATTCCGAGAAGTGAGGTTACTAAAGTCCAGTAAACAAGATGTAAATAAGTTGTTCCGCGTAATGGAGCGCCGCGACACGGCCGTTGCGGTAGGAAAAAATACACTGTTGCGATTTAGAGCGGACTAATTTCGGTTCGCGCGGAGAAAGGAAAAAGAAAAATAATCCGAGTGACATCGAGAAGCTTCGTGAAGCTCTTGATTCCACGTATGGCTCGCGAGCACACTTGGACGCTTCTGGGAAAAAGACACGCGAGATATGCGGGTCTCGCAACACGTCTGTTACGTAAATGGAACCTTGTGGTCAACGGAACCGAAGGAAACACGTTCACGTACCGCTCGCGCTCGTGTGTCAACACGCGAACATACCGAGTGCTCGTTTAAAAAACTATTATGGTAATGTAAACACAGGGTACTCGCGTTTAGTGCGCACGGGCAAAATGAAAGCACGCGTACCGTGTATCGACGAGTGTATATGCACACAAAGAAACACTGGTCGCGTACGAATACAATGAAAACACGGTATTCGAAGAGGCACAGTGGCGCGCGAACGGCCGAAACACTAACCATTTGACAGTTCACCCAGGGCACGCACACTTCCTCTTCCAACCTACTCCTTTTTATTATCTTCTGCTCTCCTCCCCACCATGGCGGCTCTTATCGTTTCGAAAACCTCGGCCGATACACGCTTGCAGCATCCCGTTTCGATTCCCGGATCTGGACTGGTGTCACTGGTGTCGCGCGGAACAATGCTCAAAACGATTTCACGTGTCATCATTAGTCGTCGTTTCGCAGCGTGTTCGTGAATACGCTTTCATCCCGACCACGAACTACGCAACGATGACTTTTCCATTCGATCTGTCAGTTTCGTAACAGGTTACGTTGGACGATGATCGATCGCGATTTCGATAATCGACGGCCACGGTCGATGTTCGACGAGCAGCACTATCGATAATCTTCACCGGTGACACTGGAAATATCCGCGTAACCGGCAGTCTATCTGACATGCATTGCATGACGGTCGGACTCGGACTGAGCGGCCGTATTGCGCCGATGGCGCGAGAGCCGCGACCGCAGCGCCACCCACCCCGCCGCGGCGACCCCACGAACTTGCGAATTCCGCATAGCGAGCGCGCACGTGAGAAAAGCCTCGAATTAAGAACGAAAACCAGGTCGAACGTCGGGATTCTAGGAAAAAGCAACTGACTAAATGCCATCGATTATCAAGGATCTGTTTGCTTATCGTAGAACGCGCGAAACAGGAAATAATACGTCGATTTTCGAACATGGTTCCCTGGTATTTAAAGAAATGGAAACCCCCTGAAGATGTCGTCCTTCGCCGCGATTCTTTCTTAATGAACATAGCTCAGAAGTCTGGTTTATGAACGAGTTTCATGGCAAGCGAGTTTATCTTTAGGCGTTTCTACAGTACCGAGATGTTGCGAGGTAGTCTTGTGGTGGTTTCCATGAAATCTTTATCGCTTGAAATCCCGATATACCTATCGGGATAATATTCGAATACATAAATAACTTTTATACTCGTAACAATAATAGATATTGGCATTCGGAAGACGCTTTTTTCACGCAAAGTAGATGGCGCTGTTTTATGAATGGAGGATGGAGCGAAACGGTCGTAACGTGCTTATCTCACGGTTCGCGTTTCTTTTCCTTTTTATTTAAGATAAAAGACCGTGTACAATACGAAGAGCGACAAAAGTTTCTCGTCACGGAAGAATGACAGAAGACAAAACGTGCCACGTTGTTCTAAGAAACGAGTTATCGTTGTCCCAGTTTCGCACTCGCCCCTGTACAAGAGAGGGATGGCGGAACGAGTGCATTAATGGGATCGAAAAATCGATCGATCTTATGGGTCGACTTCCTCGAATCTCGATGTCAATTGGAACTCCGTCTATGGAGAATAAAATTCAATTCATGAACTCGTTTATGCCGGACATAATACGTTCCTCAATGAATAAGAATAGCGCGATAGGCGCTATCGTGTACACAGGGTGTCTCGTAAATAAGATCAAATTGGAAAAATCATATCACGAGCTTCGTGTCCCAGATTATTTACCAAGGCTGAGGTTTCATTTTCAGATACAGCTCCGATGTTCACCAACGTCTATTTTCAGTCTGTCTATAAAACAAACGTGCCTACCAGCGATACGTGACAGCCCTTGACTGATTTATGCTCGGAAGGAATGCTGGTTCACTCTTATCTCCCGTTCTGGACTTAGAGTGAAGCACGTCTGAGAATTCGGGTCAGGATTTTTGGCTATCGTGAGACGGAACGTGCCGCTCAACACAGTTGGTAAGTATGCCGGTCATTGTTCGGGGCAAGGGTTACTGTATATGGAACTCTTTCGAGATTTCGACTTTCCGGGCAGACAATCCGAGCTTCTCAATAGGAGTAGTTGAACTCCTTCCAACTTTCGATCGACTGATACTTTCGACTGGAAGAACAAAGGAAGAATGAAGACCAGGATATAGCAACTCTCACCACTGATCCACTGCTATTCGACGGAGAATCAAAGAAGTTCAAACCTACCCAAAATTGGCACCCAAGAGCTCAGCAAGGAGTCAACATCTCGAAGTAACAGGTAACGATAAAACATCTTCATTTGGACGCTCGAAGCCTCCCATGTGACCCTTTGATCCATGGACCAGGTGCAACGTGGACCCCGGAATAGGTATCCAGAAGGAAGACGAGATCTCGTGCAGCCTTACGTCAAACTGCGCACAATGAACCTCTTCTGCTCGATCAATATGACCGCCATTACCTCTCAAGCTGACGAACCGAGACCCGGTCCCGTAAGTCATCTTCGATCCACGCTATAAGGAACGAGGATGAAGAAAGAAGCAGAGAAAAAAGGCAAGCAGCTGCACGATGGAAAAGAGGGACACAAAGACTGGAATGCGGTCTAACGAGGTGAACGTAAGAAAACTCCAACAACCAGGACGTCGAATGTCGTGGAATTTTGGCGAGAGAGTATACCGGGTGTCCCTGACGCACGCGTGTACAAGCGAGAAGAGACTATGGAACATGGACGAAGGGTCGCAGAGAGGAGAAGAGAGGAGATAGAGGAGGATGGTGGAAGAGGGCACGATAAGGAGAGAGGTTGGAAAAAGAACAATAGATAAGTTAGGTGCGGCAGGCCGCCTTGATAGGTCAGCGACCAAATAATATCCGTGCTTTCTTTCCAGCACGTTCGTTAGCGAGAGAGGGCACTATAAACGCCACACATTGGCGCCATTTGATTTATGATCTCATAAATGGCGCCATAAACGCGCTGTTAGGGTTACCCCGATGCCCATGATCACGACCGTTGATTTTTCCTCGAGATTAGATTTTCTTGGCACGGTTCGGACATGTCATATTATTGGACGACGTTGATGGCCGTTTGGCAATTTCCTGATCGCATACACGTGTTCCGCGATAAGCAGAGGACCGATAGTAGAGGAGCAGCGATAGTCGATTACGTGGACTTTGATTTGACCGAGCTCTGATTGTTGAAACAGGTGACGAGAAGATCTTGCAAGGTTTTCGGACGATTCCATTTGCACGAGGTAATCGTTGATATTCTGGACTGGTCTGGGCTAAGAGGCTACTCGAAAATTTCCTCTGTCATTGCACGGATTTAATCTCACTCGATTTGACAACGGCTAGCAAGGAACGAAGATTATCCCTTTACCTAGACACGATGGAGCGATCGTCTCTAACTCGAGGGAACCTTGACGATCGTAGACCCCAATCAAACCTATTGAAAAGCTCAATGGAGGCAATTAAAAACCCTGCCAATTAACGATATCTCGTCCGTTTCTCGTCTCGAATGGAGCCCCAAGGTTTCCAGCTGGATATAACAGAGACAATTTCCTGCCGCTTCCGTGTGTCTTCGAGCAGGCAAGAGGTTCTATCGCCGAGAGCATTGGCAGACAGCTGTAGGCGTGTTGGCTCTCGCCAGACACAAAGAGGCGATTCGGAGACGTCTCCTCGTGACACTGTCGTTGTATCGGGAGAATCGTGTGTATACGAGCTGGTATAAGCTCGTGTTCATAATCCTTGACGAAGACGCCGTGCGTTAAAGCCGGATTTCGAACGATACAAAGACTCGATTCGAGCGTCCTCCCACTGCCACTTCTTTCATCCTCGCTTTATCTATTGTTTGTATCTCGCGTATATTTTATATCAGATTTCGATCCAGACACGGGGTTATTTCTTAATTACATCCTCAGTGTACCAGTTGTTTATTAGGGTATACTTTGGTCGAAGAAAATAATTTAATTTAATTAAATTTATGTCTACCAATATTAGAACTGTCATGTTACAGCTAAGACTAAATATACCGTAGTGACATGACAAATAGTTGCATGTAATTACGTTTCTCTTCGGATCTGAGTTTCCAAACGAGCATTTCGACTCGATCAGCAGTCACAGTGTTAATTCAAAGATAAATTCGGCGAAATTATCTAGACACGGGGTTATTTCTTAATAATTACATCCTCGAGTGTGCCTGTTGTCTATTAGGGTATACTTTGGTCGAAGAAAATAATTTAATTTAATTAAATTTATGTCTGTCAATATTAGAACTGTCATATTACAGCTAAGGCTAAATATACGGTAGTGGTATGACAAATAGTTGCATGTAATTACATTTTTCTTCGGATTCGAGTTTCCAAACGAGCATTTCCACTCGATCAGCAGTCCCAGTGTTAATTCGAGGATAAACTCGGTGAGTTTGATGGAACTTTTAAGACTCACCGAGTTCTTTGTTCCTTTGCCGAGGCAGCAGGACTGTAGAACTTCAACGTTCTGTTTAATTCTACCACTGCGCACTCTCTTTGTTCCACACTCGTTGGATCAATTATGCAAAACCATCTGCGAGATCTACACGTGTTCCCGCACGAGATACATCTACGACGTCTGCCATTGGAGCACATGGATCGTAGATAAAATCGAAAAATTCGTCGCTGGTAGATTGCCGCTTTCTCGGACTTTGAAACCGAGTTATGTCACTCGGTCGACGAGATCTGTGACGCAAAGTGACGCGGATTTCCTCCGATTCCGATAATTTCGTCGGCGTCCGCGTTGAGGAAGGTGTGCGCGTCGCGACGCGACACGCCGCAGTTCAAACAAAGAAGTCCTCTGTGAGCTGCGAAGGAAACACGTTCCTCCGGTTCTACGCGCATAAAGGAGCTCTCTCGCCTAGTCGAGAGCAGGAATTCCTTGACGACTCGGCGTGGCATTGAGACACGCGAGATAAGAACCGGAGGAATTTCGCGCAACAGGAATGGACGATGCCGATTCCGTGATAACGAGGTTTAAACTCGCGGAAGGTCAAATTGGGAGGATAAAAGTGTGCAAGATCTGTGTGGAAAATTGGTGGATGGATCAAGTTAAATGGGAAACAAATTATGGGTACTTTGTTTGTTGTGGATTTTACAATTTGAGGCAGAGTTGGAATTACTTTCTTCCAAATTTTGGGGAAAATTGGTAGAACTGATTATTGGTACTTTGTTTACTGAACTAAAAATTTTTGGTTCCGAATGGTATATAAAATTTGAAGATCGGATACTTGGGATTGGGGCAAAGTTTTAATTACTTTCTTCCAAATTTTGGAGAAAATTGGTAGAATTGCGGAATATATCGATACATAAATCATTGGTACTTTGTTTCACTAATTAAAAATTTGTGGTCCCGAGTGATATATAAAATTTGAAGATCGGATACCTAGGACTGGGGCAAAGTTTTAATTACTTTCTTCCAAATTTTGGGGAATATTGGTAGAATTGCGGAATATATCGATACATAAATCATTGGTACTTTGTTTCACTAAACACAAATTATTAGTACTTAGTTTCGCTAACTAAAAATTTTTAGCCCTGAGTGGTATATAAATTTTAAAAATCGGATATCTGGGACTGGGGCAAAGTTTTAATTACTTTCTTTCAAA